GGGGTTAAGAAAGATTGGGTTTGAGTAAAAAGAAGCATACTGACACGGTCATACAAGTGTATAATAGTGCAGGGAAGAAGCAAGACAGACAAAATGTTGGACCTACTAGTGGCGCCCTCCAACCACTACGGGCGGGGCAAGAGAAGGTGGTTTAGAAATAAAACAAGAGAGAATAATTATTATGTACGTACAGAACTCGGATGGTTAAGACAGCAGGCTGCACTGAGAGGCGGGACGGAGATACAAACTGTGTGTGTGTGGGGGGGGGGGGGGGGGGGGAGGGGTTCAGGAAGTTCACCTGACTGTCACACTTTACGCATTACTTTCTTTATCCTGACGATGTGTGGTATGAAGAAATCTTAACCCCTTCACAACCAAGCCCGAAAATTCACTCTCATTATGCAGAAGGCATTTTGAGATCCAAGTTCTCAGCAGAGGGTAAAATCATTAAAATTCGAAAATTGTCACTTGTCTGGTTGTCTACTGAGGTCCTCTAAGTACGAATTCAGTGAGTAAAAGATTCTGTTGTATGCACTTTTATTATCACTCTTTTTTGTTTTCAACTTTAGACCATGTACAAATAAACAGTTTTATTAATGTTTTTCTTGTAAGAATTTAATGTCACTTGCAACTCAAATATGTCGTATAAGTGGCCAAGATGAGAGGAGTTACTAAACTGAAACATGCACAAAAAAAAAAAAAAGAAGGAGCAGAGACAATGATCACAGATATTTCACACGAAAGAAGGGAAAGCCACATCGGAGCACCCGCCAACCATCCACCTAAATTTAAATGAACAGTTAGAACCATTCTTTGTTGTTGTAAGTAATGTAAGATTATGGATTCAGATGCATGTGAAGGGATAAAACATGAAAATCTGTAAGTTCAACGCCCATTGCAAAAGTACTTTAGGGTTATGTAAGAGATGGGACCTTTGAATTTAACGTCCGTATCCGAAAGGACTGCTTTAAAATGGAACATTCATGTAAAATGCTTTTCTCCAGTACACAACGTCGGACCGAGATGAGGCTAGAAACACTGCACCCGTGAATACCAGCAAACTCATGAATACGGGTCTGGTAGCCTAACCACTATTTATAATAATATGTGTTCTTGGGAATGGCACTTTACACAAATTACTATTCTATTTTGGCTCGGTCCTTTCAAAGACGGAAGTTCACCTCGGAGGTCCCGCCTGTTAAATAACCAATCAGTGTTAATAGGGGAGTTCAGCCTCGCTTTACTAATTGGCATTTCACATCCTCAGTGAATTAGCCATTGCACAAAAGAGTTGAAAAGAGCATGGATTCAAATGCATGGGGGAACTAAGATATGAAGAGACTATAAATTATTAAATCTACAAGTGGAGCGACTTTAACGAAGAAATTATTCGTCCCGGCTAATTTAATTGTTATCTTTTAGTAAGTTGTTCCACCTGAAATCTGAAGTGTCTGATAATGGTATTAGAGTTTTCATTCCATGCTTGAACACAATGGGGTACAGACACAACACGCATAACCATGCAAGAATTAAATTCAACACAGATATGAGTTGTTTTTTTTAAAATTAATA